GGACAAGAGGCTCAGGGGTAATGGGGGCAAGAGGCTCAGGGGTAATGGGGGCAAGAGGCTCAGGGGGTGGGGGTTGGGGCAGCAAGTGTGACTTGCTCGGTGCAGAGCCCCCAGAGGGTCCAGGAAAGTGTGTGACTGGAGAAACAGAAATTGTGTAGATGGTGCCTCCAAAGTCACTTCCCTTCCTGGGTCACCTGCCCAGCCCCTCCTGGCCTCTGAGGCCTGAGCAGGCCACCTGGGGCCCTCACCCACTTCCTCTCCCAGCTGGAGAACGACTGTCCCTTCAAAGGCAATGGGGGACAGGTGAGGGGCCTGGATCTGGGTGAGCTGGGCGCCTCAGGAAAGGGCCTCCTTTGGACCTCGGCACCCAATCTGCCTCCCTTGGTAAGATGCTGGGGGCCCGCTGCAGGGGGTCTCTCTCACACTCTTATTTAGTCTGCCCAACTCCTATCTCTCCATCCTTCAAAACTCTGTCCAGGTAACGTCTCCAGAGCCCTCCGAGTTCATCAGCTCCCTCTGAACCCAGCCCCTAGGCCCCCGGGCTGCCGCGGCCAGCCTCGCTGCCCCCTGCCCCTCGTGCCTGCTAACGCAGGCCAGGCCCTGGGTGGAGACCTTCCCCGCATTTTCTCCCTGGGTGCTCAGGGCCACCCTTCAAGGTTTGTGTGACCCCAATCCTCACCCAAAAGAGGAGACATCAAGGTTGGGACACATGGCAGCAGGAAGAGGTGAAGCCGGAGTGCGAACCCAGATCTGCCACCCGCATGCCCCTGGTGGGAAGCCAGGTTAGAAAAGGTCTGTCCTCCGCAAGCTCCACACGACCACGTCCCAGGAGGGAGCCGTGGCCCTCACACACAGAGGGCCCCAGCGGCCACCGCCAGGGTGCCATGGGTGTGGTGGGGTTTCCGTGATTAGTGGTGCTCCATTTGTCTGCAAGGTTCCTGGGGCTTAAGATTTCGTGAGCTTTCCCAGCCACGGACCACCATGCTGCAGAGTGTCACAGGCTTTCCAGTCCTGAGGGCACCTGGGCCTGAGCTGAGTCTGTTACCATGACTGAAAAGGAGTCTGAGGTCCAGAGAGCCCTCCATACTTGGACAGATGCCTCCCTCCAGACTTTGAGCTGCCCCTCTCCAAGGGTGACCTGTTCACTCTGGAGCCTACAGCTCCATCCTGCCCCCAACAGGCCGTGACGCCAGGCGAGTGGGTCTGATTCAGCACCCCGCCCTATGAGGGCCATGCCCACAGGGCCTCTGGGACTTCAGTGGACACCACCAACTACACCACAGTGGGAGCCAGGAAGAGGTTCGGCCTTCGCAGGCAGTGGCCAGCGCCCCCCGCCCCCCACAGCCAGGTGGTCGGTGAGTAACCACCCTGTCACCATGACTCACTCGGCTCCCCAGAGCAGGCGGTCACCATGAGAAGCTGCACCGGAAGACCTGGGGGAGCTGTCACAACCCACCCCCACATCTGGAAGAGGAAGGCCAAGACGGGAAGGGACCTGCCCAGGACAGGGGCCCAGCCTGGTCCCCGGGCCTGGCTGAGGCTAGACCCCCATGCCAGTTGACCCAGCACTGCAAGGCTTTCTCGGGGCCTGTGGCCCCCACCTGCACTCCTGTGGACACTTGCTGGACCCCACTGGCCCTGGAGCACCCACTCTGACAAGCACGGAGGTGGCTAGGGCTGGCTGGAGCTGCCTTGCACAGCTGGGCCACACTCGGCATCCGGTGGGGGCTCAGGGCCCTTCCAGGCCAGCACACCCGTCCAACCCGATCAGTGGCAGGGGCCCAGGCATGCGTCTGGGATTCGCTGTGTGCGGACCACAGCCCAGCACAGGGAGCTGGGGGGCAGCCCAGATGAAAGGGGCAGGATCAACTGTCCGCCAGTGTTTGCCATGGAGCAATGGGATGCCTTCTGGAAAGTTCTCTGGAGCAGAACGAAGCCTCCACCCAGGGCCCCTCCTAGCCCCGGCCTCCTCAGATCCCACAGGCTGACCCCTGAGGGCACACGCAGTACCGAGACAGGCCCCAACCCCCTCATCTCTCCTGGTTCCCACAGCTCTTGTACACAGGCTGCCTCTCCCAAGTTCCCCAAACCAGGTCTCCGCACTAGGAATGCCTCCCCTGGAGCTGCCTGGGCGCTGCGTCCACCTGGCCATCTCACACACCTGCCAGCCCAGGGACACCCATGCCACATTAGCACTCTCTCCCCCTGCGGCTGCAGACCAGGCCCACACGCTGGGGCAGGAGCTGCTGAGGGGAGGCAGGGACCTCGGCTGCCCGACTGAGCCCAGCACTGGGACCCCAGCACTGCCCGGGAACATCTGTACAGCAGTTCCCTTAAGAGAATGTCTGCCCACAAAGCACGCGGTGCACTTGGGGAGAACATGTGTACAGGCATGGCCCAGCGGGCGGGGAGGTGGGGAGCCACCCCCCAGGAGCTGGGGGCTCTGGAGGTATATTGGCCACCACCTGCCGAGAGCCCCTCAACCGGTGCCCTCCCATCTTGCTCCCACCCAGCTTCTGAGTTCCTTGCTCACCCACTCCTCTCAGCCTCCAAACCACCCCTGGAAGGCCGTTGGCTTCCACCCCTGGACACCTCCCCAGGAACACCAAACCTCAGCCAGTCAGCTCCAAAAATGATGTCTCAGGCAGAGTGGCTGCCGGGTCTCTAGCAAGGCTTAACACTGAGATGCCAGGATCCTGGGGAGGGGAGGTTTCATGGACTCAGGAAGCCGGATCTAAAGCCCCCTGGGTTGATCCGTTTTCCCAGGAGGGACAAGAGAAGCAGGACCTCTGGCCGGGTACTTAGCCTAAGTCCTCACTGATCAGGCGGTGCCTACCGGGCCCTGAGCCCTGCCCAAGACGGCCTGCTACCCCCCACCCCACCCCAGCTGATGCCTCCGCAGCCGGGGCTGCCCGCCGGGCCTGGAGCGCTCTCTCTGCCCGGACCTTGTAATTATGTCCCACAGCCGGGGAAACCACGGGCCTCGCAGCATCTGGCTGCGGTTGCGAACTTTTGTTTCAAGATGCGCGACTATTTATAGAAGGAAAACTGGTAGGATAGTAATTTCCTAGGAGCTGGAGGAGAAATTGGCTGCGTCTTTATTAAAAGGGGGTGGGGGCGCGGCGATTTATTAGGACTGTGGCCGCGCGGGGGAAGGGGGTGGTGTAGGGAGCGGGAAGGCGGCGGCTGCCCCCTCTGGCCGCGTTAAGCGACCCCGGACGTGGCCCGCGTGTTTTCTCTCAAATATGGTATCTAGGGGAAAAAATTAAAGACAATGTGAAAGTAGAAGGAAGACTATTATAAGAGGAAAGGGAGCGGGGGAGGGGAGGAGGGGGGAAGGAGAGCTGGCTCTGAGGTTTAATCAGTAGCATCCAGCTTAAATTCCCCCAAACGGCGGTTCCATAAATCAAACTTCTTTTTAAATCGGAGGCCAGAGCATATGCGTCCCATTAGGAATCGGGAGAAGCCACCGCTGCGCGGACGCACCCCCTCGGCTCGCTGGGCCGGACTGGGCCCTATCCGGAGCTTTGCCGTAGCCTGGTGGGTGCTGCCTGGCCGGACGCACACATGCGCCCATGGTGCGCTAGCTCCCTGAGCCCTGATCCTAGGTGGTGCTCCGCAGCCGCCCTAGCACGCTGCTCGCCCTTCTTGCCCCCAGGTGAGGTGTCGACCAGGGCCAGGGGGAGGCCGCTCAGCACCGCAGGAAGGCTCAGGAAGGGTCAACCTGGGCGCTGACTGGGGGACACAGCGTGCACGTGTGTACCGGTGCGTGTGCCCGGGAAGCGGGTGTGTGCGTGCACCTCACCCTAGTGTGGCCTGGCCATGTGCGCCGCGTGGGTTTTGGAGAGAGGGTACCGGTTGGTCCAGGACTCCTCTGGGACGCACAGGGAATCTCCGCGCAACCCGGCTGAGCCCAGCCCTCTCGTTGGTACGCACAGCTTGTTCTATTCAGGCAGTGGTATTGCTCTCAGCCACCCTTTCTCTGACCCCAACTCTGGGACTTCTCCCTGACGCAGCTGTTTCCCAGGTGCTCTACCTAGGCAGCTTAGATCGGCAAAGCCACCCAAAGTCCCTAGGTTTCCGTGCCCCGCCCTGTGTCCCCTGCCCGCCCCGCTCCAATGCTGGAGGCCAGGGGGTCCCCACTCACCCACCCCGCTCATCGCCCGCGGCACTCACAGGTAGCTGCCGCTGGACAGGAGGAGAAAGATCTGCGGGCAATAGACGTAGAGGAGCGCGCTGCGCGGCGACAGCAGGAGCATGGTGGGCCGGCGCGCCTGGCGGGGCTGAACAGGCCCCACCGGCAGGGCTCCTGCGCCAGCTAAGACCGGGGTCCCCGAGGCCCTCCCTGATACCGGGCGACGGCGCTGGGCGCTAGGGGCCAGGGCTTGCGGGCCCAGGGGCAGTGGTAGCCCATGCACCGCCGCCAGGGCCGCGCATCGCGCCGGATCTGGGGCGGCGACGGGCGCTGGTGCTGGAGTGCGGGGGACGGGGGTGGGTCAGGCCCCCGGAGCGGCACCGCTCGCCTTGCGGCTGTCTGGCCCTCCGTCGGTCTGTCGGTGCGAACCGGCTCTGTCGCTCGTTCTGGCTCACGTCTCCAAGTCTCCTGAGGCGCGCAGCTGCCATTGGATGGGCCGCCCCTACATCCGCCTCCTCCGCGGGCGGGTTTTTTTAAAGGGGAGGCTGACCCGAGCGTGCGGCGGGAGCCGCCCCCAGGGTTTGCCCAAGTGGCCTTGGTCTGGACACCCTCACCCCCAACCTTCAGTGAGCCACGCCACTCTGGCCTAGCTCTGTGCGGCGCACCTGGGGGAAGGCACCTCAGGGTAACTGCGCGGAGGCGTGTGCTCCGCTTAGGGGCCGTGCCCAGCAACGTGTGTTCGTGTGTGCATGCATGTGCCTGCATGAGCCTGCGGGAGCGTGGGCGGTCTGGGAGGGCGCAGGTGTGAGTGCACAGATGCGCCGTGTGTGCTACCCTCTCTCCCGATGGCCACCAGTTAGGGGAGGTTCAGCCAGGCCAGCCTGCTTTGGTGCTGGAGCCTGGTGTCTGCCTATGGCCTCGGTGGGGAGGCTGCCAATGGGAGACCCTGACAGGTGCTGCTCTCTTTACATACGGGGCCCTCAACCCTAGGTCCCCACCCCTCATCTTTTGCTCTCTTTTGAGGATTTGGTTGTGACGTGTGGGGTGGAGCAGACCACAAGGACAGACTTTTCAAAACAATCCTCCTCCTTCCAGTAAGCTTTTTAAAGCCTAGAACTCAGATTTAGGGTCCCACCTCCTATTGTCTGCCAAACCTGGCTGTTTAAGAGCCATCCCACTGGAGGGACAGAAATCCTGTCAGCTGCTGGGAGGAGGCAGAGCAGTAAAGGGGAGCTCTGTGCCATCTGGCCAGTGGTGCCGGCCTCCCAGCCTAGCAGGGAGACTCGTCCCACACGTCCAGCAGGAAAGCACCTTCTCCACTTTCATCTCCCCGGTTCCCAACTCCTCCAGCCCCCTGCTTCAGCTGGCCACAAAGGCAAGGGCAGGCCTGGGACAGGGCTGATCCTGGAAGTTCAGGGACCTTGGTGCAGTGGGCCCAGGCTCTAGGTCATTCCATTCAGAAAAGACCCTGGAGAAGATCCTCAAGTCACCATGTTTTGAAATTGCTCAGAATCCAAGACACGTCTGTTCTGGGGTTTGGAGGCCTGAGTTCTGGTCCCACTGCTGCAGTTGCACTGGCTGAGGGGCCTATGAGTGTTGGACATGTGGGGGGGGGGTGAGGGACATGCAGCATCCAGGGGTGGGCTCAGGGGGCTGAGATCACCAAATACCCTTCAGTGCCTACAATCTCTGATTTGGGGTTAGAACTTTAATGATCCTAAAATCCCAACTCCTGGGATTCCAACGTCCTGGAATACATCATTTGAAGGGGTCCCCAAGTGGGGAACCATTGTGCTGCTGCAGTACCCCCTCAGGTCTCCACGTCCCTGCAGGAACCCCCTGGAGGAGGCGCCTCAGGCTGCCTCTGCCCTGGGCTGTTGCCCAGGGATGTCACGGTCAATAGCCATAAGAAAGGCTTTATCAACCCCACAGGTGTTTATTGGGATACACGTCACCAGGGCAAAGGCCTCTGGGACTGATCCCTCAGTGGCACTGAAGGAGCATCCACCATCACCATCGACCATCTGTCTTTATAAGGCTACCTGGGAAAAGAGCCACCACCCAAGGCACTGGCCAGGAGAGAGGGGAGGACAAAGTCAGCCAGCCTGTTAATCCCACCCCAAACCTCCTGAGCCACCGAGCTGCTGATCATTTGGTCATTTAACCCTTTAGGTCACATGTGGGCCCAGCTTCCCCCCCCCACTCACCTAGTGAAGCCAAGATAACTTGCAAAGAAAGCAGGGCGGAGCCTCTGGGGAGGGGCTAGCCAGGTCCCTACCCTACCCTCTCCTTAATAGATCCCAGGGCTGTCTGGCTTTCCTCGATGTCATTTTACAGAGGGTTTGGAGACCACGTTTGGAAACCCAGGAGTCAGGGAAGTATGTGTTTTAGGGGGACACACCAGGGAGAGGAATTCCTTCTCCAGAGCCAGGGCCACGCCGAGGGACACTTGGTCTTTGCCTCCCTTCTTATCTAGTCCCAGAAGAAAGTTGCAGGCAGGTGCCTGGATTTTAGGCGGGGCCACAGGGAGACAAAACATTGGGGTCTTGCTCTGAACTGTTCACAGTGGCCAAAGCTGCAACTCCACTTACAGAGGGTGCAGGAGACTTAGGAAAGTCAAGCAGACCTCCAAGCCCTGGAGCCAGATGGTGGGCCAGGCTGCCCCTGGCCCTTAGCTCCTTCTGCTGGGGATGGTGGGACACACAGAGCTCTCCTGCTAGTGGGGGAGGGGCTGCTTTCTGAGGACTCCTGTTGAGGAACTAATGTTAGGAAGATGAATGGAGACCAGAGCCAGTCCACCCCAGCTGTGCCACTGTTCCAGGTGGACAGTGACTTGGCCTCCTGTGCTCAGTTCCCTAGCTCTGAACTCTAGGGCTGCCCCACAGAGAGCAGGAAGGAAAGACCTTGGTAGAACCAGGCAGCAGGGACAGAGCCTCACTGAGGGCTGCTGACCCCTCCGTGGGCCCAGGAGGATCACTGCAGGGCCGGCAGAGTCCAGAAGACAGTGGCCTGTCTGCCCCACCCCCACCCAGCAGGCCCAACGCTGGCACCCCTCACCTCCATAAACAAACACCCAGGGACACAGCCTACCCACGGACCTACAACAAACAGAGCCACCAGCAGCCACAGACACGCCCTCCCAGGCCTGCAGGGCCGAGGCTAGGACCAGGGGCTCCCAGCCTTGCCTCTGAAGCCGCCAGCTTTGGTCTCTGACCGCTCTGGGCCTCAGTTTCTCCATCTGTAAAATGGCGGAGGAGAGAGGGATGTAAGGTTGATGGAAGAGATAGTTCTCAGACCGTGTTTGTACCTCTCACCTGGGACGCGCGCCTTCCGAGTACGGAACCCACCGCTCCTGCGCGTCTGCTTGCGGCCCTTCACGGCGGCTCGGAGGGGCTTTCGGACGGTGGCGCACAGTAGGAGCGCGGAGCACGGGTGCTGGCAGGTGCGAGGGGCGCACGGCGGGCACCAGGCGGTGGGCGACCCCGTGAGGCGCACCGCACTCCCTCTGGGTCACCCAGTCCCCCCACCCACAATCGAGGGAGGCAGAGACGGATTCTGTCTAAAGGAGATCGCGGTTCAACAGGTAGGGACTCGGCTGGCTTCTGGAATGTGGAAATACGACTCGGAGCAGCTACCGCAGCGAGCAGCGAGCGC